ATCCATTACACTAGATCTCCACCTCCTGTGTTGGGGTGGAGCTTATTAATAAATGACAGTTTTATATATGATGTGAGGAAACAAATGTCTCCAACTTTAGGTCATTTTCCTAAACCGTATAGGACCTCACAGTATAAACATGCAGCAAAAATAAAAATAAAAAAAAAAACTGAGAATATAAAAAGTCCCAGAAAACAAAGGTTCAAAAATGCTGTATAGAAACAATGTAAATGTCCCTTTAGGTCAAAGACCGTTTTAGACGCTGTTTTTAACCAACTTTAGATTTTCTTTTATTGCTTTTAAAGCTTACCAGCTCATTTTTAATGCATAAATACAATTAGGAAATTTAATTAAAAATGCTGAGTGAAGCAAAATGTGAGAAAAGAGGAACACCTTTGAGACAAATGTCACTTTGTTTTGAGCAGAGGGATTAATGACACAAAGAGTTCAAGCTGCTGAAAAGTAATCACACCAGCTCTTCCTGGTCTTTCACAGTGTTTATGGCTTTATCTTATTTTATTATTTAAAAAAAAGATCATAAATTGAGGAACCACATATAGTTTAGTGGTTTTAATACATGTGAAGGCATCACTTAGATAATAAAATATAAAAATCTCTCCATCTGTCACGTTTTATGGAATTCTGTCTGGGGCTGAACTGGGCCAATGGAAAAACCTCGCCTCAAGGCTTATTTACAGATGCTCCCAACGCTCGTCTCTCATAAACATCCTCCCTTCATGTGTGCTGTCAGGACCCCTCTGCCTATCAGGCCTCTGTTTGGCCCACGCTCTTATCATCCAGCAGCAGTTAGGAATCTAAAGGCTGGGCATATGTGCTAACCACAGGGCGATAAGTCCTTTTCATTTAGTGACAAGCACACTTAAACGATGGTCCCTGTGCACATGTGACACCAAATGTGTTTAATTTGTTCGGTGGCTTTGATTTCCCAGCTTCAAAGCGTCTGCTCGTATGAAAGTTTTACTATTTTTGAGTTCATCAGAATATGTAAAATTCTGTTTGTAGTTAGCAAGGAAGGAAGGAAGGAAGGATGGAAGGGAGATACTTGTTTTCTGAACCTCACAACATTTAAAGCTGTCACTAAAATAAGGCGGGGTACCAGGCTGATTAATTTATTCACCCTTAAAATATCAGACCTCTGCATTGAGGTGGAATCTGTTTATTACAGCAAACTCACTCTGCAAAAAAAAAGCAAAGAAGAAATCAAATCTTGTTTGAGCAACTGTTTTAAACCAATTTATTACCAGTTCTTCAGCACTTCTTCATGTTCAGTTACTGTTTTGGTTTTTTTGCATTTACATAAAATTTATTTCATTTTTACTATGATGAATATCTTGTTATTGCAACTATGATTTTTCCAGCTGAGGGAAAGTAATGGCCTATTCTGGTCTAATTTACCACAGAAACAATAATATTCTGTGGATGACATCATTGTTTAACATTACAAAGATTCACATTTCTGCTGACTGAAAAAAGGTCAAAGGAAAGTATTTTTCATTTACTACCAGTTAAAGTCAACAGATTTTTAATCTGATACAATCTAATCATTATCAAGATTGTTTTTGACTTCTTTTGTTTTCTTCATTCCTACTAGTGTTCYGAGTGAATCAGTGAGAAGCTCATTGTTGTGATCACTGAAAAAACTGGTCAGCCAAAACAGTTACAAAAGAAATCATCCTTATGGTGCTGAAACCTTAACTCAGAGGATGTGATTCTGAGAATCATGTGGTTTCTGGCACTGCAAAGGCAGCAGATCCTTTGGGTCCTGTGGCTTTCAGGGGGGCCTCCGAGGATCAGGCCTGTTCCAGCTCATCAGAAGTGGGCTCARTGCCCGGGGTTCTTTATCACGTTCTGAAAAGTGTTTGTAAGCAGTTTTTGCTTTGTGGTGGAGTGCATTATTCTGTTGGGGAGGCTGCTGCCAGGGGAAAGCATGCATTTAAATGTAATTTGTTCTCATAGTATTTATTTTTAAAACAGTTACAATGTGACTCACGTATACAAAAGTCCACCTGAGAGCAATCAGGTGACTATAAATTTTATATCCTTGGATTTTAATGTTGTCAATGTGGACATAAGTGTCCAGTATGGGGCACCAAGTGTAACATATTTTTCATTATGTAGAAGTTTGAGATATCCAGGATGGTGTCATCATCCTGTGACAAACATCAACAATGGCTGCTCCAAGCTAACACTGCTAATGCTGCTGAAGATAATATATAAATTATAAAATCATATATGGGTGGTCTCTGTGGTCCAGCAGTTTGGAGTGTAACTCAGACACCAGCCATAACTGCAAGTTTGATGTCTTGTAGGGAAGCTTTAGCTGCATCAGAGTGCTAACTTTTGCTATTGTCTCAGAATGATGACATCACAACATGAGCCGAGCACCAACAGC